TATTCACTAAAAGACTGTGCAGCTATGACACTGAGATTAAGGAGCACTCCTTGTACTTTTTAAATCCATGATTATTAAATGGCTTTAGCCTTCAATGCAGAAGCAGCCTAAAGCCCTTTCCTGAATTATTCCATTTTATAGTAAAATGAATTAGAAGACATAATTATTTCTCAGGCATTTTTAAGACAGTAGAGTGGGGGGGGGGGAACTTTCAATCTGTTGGGCCTTTACAACTATGTTTTTTCCTCTGGACTTTTGCAGCAAAGTAGATTAGATCATTTTGATATTGGCATGATGTATAATGCCTATATCTACTTTGTAATTGATTCCTAAGGCTTGGCTGAGTGGAAGAATAAAGCTTCAGAATTTCAATGATATTGCTTCTGTTACTGGAATTACAAGATGTATCATGACCACAAATAGAATACCCAGTCTCACAAATAGTCTAGACACATCTAGACACATTTCTTTTATTTGTTGGTAGTTTATTAGCATGGAAGCATGATGACACAAATGGTATAATCTAAAATACAAATGTTGATGATCATTTACATGGAGTTAGACCATGGAAGAAAACTTCTCTGGTTCTCCTGGAGGACAGGGAGAGAGGGAGTGTTTGGGGGTAGTTTTCTAGGGAGAATTCCCATTGCCTGCTGTGCTTTACCTGAAGCAGTGCTCATAAGTAGGTACTCTGCTGAACGGTGGCCAGAGTTGCATCAGCAAAATCTGGAGTTGTAACTGTTGTCATACCTTGGCTGTGGTGGTTGAAAAAAGTTTTCAGTGTCTTTCGAGGTATTTTTAGGTTCAGGTTTCTGTTAGGTGGATCTGCATAAGCACTTTGGCCTCTCTCAGAAAAGCAATGCAACCTTCAGGGATGGGATGACTGGTTGTCAATTAACCAGATGTATGGTACCACTCCATTTAACTCAGACTGATAAGCCTCCTACAACAGTAGGGAATACTGACTTTGGCACCTTTGCTTTGTTCCAGCCCAGTGGAGCAGGGGTTGGGAGGGCTGTTTGAAAGGTATGAAGTCAGTGGGGAGCATCAATAAATTAGTATAATCACTTTTCCATGTGGACAGTTGTCAAGCCAAGAGCATGATGTATATCAGAGTAGGCAACTATATCCTTCCCCATGAGCATACCTCAACTTACCAAGGAGTTGCATTAGACCATTCCCTCACCTATAAACATCACATTGAGAAGGTCAACAGTAAAGTCTGCATGAGTAGCTGCCTTTAGGGCATGACATGGTTTGCCAACTTCAAAATGCTCAGAACCACCACACTTGCAATGCTATATGCCCCAGCAGAATATTGTGCTACTGTATGGTCCAGAAATTATCAATCTAAAAAGCTTGACACTGTACTTAACAATGTGGGGAGACTCATAACAGGCTGCGCAACTCACATGTATGCAGATGTAGTGCCTGTACTTTCAGGCATTAGACCAAGTGACTTAAGAAGACAGACACTAACCACTTCCCCTACTGCCAGGTTTTGGGGCTGTGGAGAGCCTGGAAGGCTGGGTATTGTGGCCTTGTCTGTTGTGCTAAACTTAGATAAGGGGTGGGGTGAATGGAAATGAAATGATCATTCACAGTAATCTGGTCTGAAATCTATTCCTACAGCATTTTATAACAGCACCAAATGAGTCCCCCATTTGGCCTGACCCTGGCAGAGAAGCACAGGTCAAGCTGAGCAGACTGAGATCTAGATACAGATGCTTCAAAATAACACTGTACAAGATGAACATCTTGGACAGCCCCTTGTGTGAATGTGGTACCCAGCAAACAGCACAGCACTTAATTGAAAGTTGTAATCTTTACAAATGCCCAGACGGCAGATAGAATCTGCATACTGGGCACAACTACACATTCACATTTACTGCACCATAATCAAAATTACTGCACAGTATGGGTACACATCTACACATGCATGCCCATACTGTGCAGTAAATATGGTGACTTATGCCAACTTGAACATAAATTTGATACCTGCATCTTGCAGGTATCAAATTTACACCTAATTAGTTATTGCGCAGTAATGCACATGTAGACACCTTACTGCACAGTAACACTGTGTGTGTGGACTGACTTGGGACTAACTTTAGTCCCAAGTCAGTCCTAAGTCAGTCCACATACAGTGTTAATGTGATTTAATGCCTGCACGTGTAGTCCCACTTATTGCGCGGCAACTTACTGCACAGTAAATTTAAGCTGGTGTAAATGCACATGTAAATATGTCCACTGAGCAATAATACCAGCTGGATGGAGGGAATGGCAGGGGGGTAGAGACTGGAAACAATGGTTTCACCACCTTGGGTCACTGAAAGCCTGATGGTGCAGCCAGCCCAGTGCTTGAGTTAACATGAGTTGCAATAGGATCCAGTACAGATGTTTGTTATGGCAGTCTAACCTACAGTGCTGAAGCCTAATACCACACCCATTCAGGGTTATTTTAGAGCAGGATTCACCATTTTTACAACACTCTACTTGCTCTGACCTTATGTTCAGCTATGGCTGTAGAGCACTTTCTGCACACATACTGTGCAATAAATGTAACTTTTGTACCTGGCTCATGAGTCTCTTCATTTCAGTGTTTATCAAACTGAAGGACTTGACCTAAATAGAACATTGTTAAAGCATTATGCAAGCTTCCTGTTTCTTAATGTGATGGTGGACCTTGCCTCTCTGTATCCTTTTATAATCTCCCAAACAGCTGTAAAGCTCGAGCTGTAAAGACTTTCCCGCCTGCCACGTCTTGGATGTTATTATAATATGTTCTACTTTATGATGGCACTTGTCAGGAGGGTTGTTATATGTATTTGTTGTTTTATTTTGCTCTTTGGGTGTCTCCATTAGGAATCCCGGTATGAGAGAGGAAAACGTCACTCGATTATTCCCACACACTCGCTGATATATATATATTCAGAATCAGATGCAGACTAACACTTGTCTTTATTCTTTATAACACTATATAAACTTTCGTTATCTTTAAACAAAAGTGGTCCTTTTTTTT